CAACTTCATAGCACTGCTTCCCACGCTTTCTCGATGCAAATGAGCTTAGTCATGACGTCACACGTCCCGATCTTCAACCAGAACAGACCGATAAAGGACCGGTGTGTCTGATTTTTCCATATTTGGAGACAAAATCATTAAAGTTACATGTAGACCAAACAAACCATGGATAACCGGAGAATTACTAGATATGATCAAACACAAAACAGACCTATACCGGGCCTATAAGTCCTCACCTACCCCTGAAAACTGGACCTGCTACACACAGTGCAAGAACTCTCTTACAACCGAACTTCGGCGCGCAGAGCGAGAGTACTACAGCTCCATTGGTAAACAGATCAAAACCTCTGACGACTGCAAGCTCCTATGGACAGTACTAAACAAAGCTACTGGAAAGGGTAGGACAGGCATCCCTGCACTGTCCAGCCAGGGTTCGACACTTGACAAGGATAAGGACAAAGCAGAACTATTGAACGACATATTCGTCCAGACCGCAAGTGGTAGCAACTACCCGGACCACATGAAGAGACTACCTCAGTACACCAACAAAGAACTCACACACATACAGTTGTCGGTCGTTGAGGTCTACAACGTGCTCCAGGGACTACACGTAAACAAGGCTCCCGGCCCTGACGGGATTCCTAACCGCCTTCTGAAGGAAGCAGCTCCGGTAGTCAGTGCCTCTCTCTGCGAGTTATTCAACTACTCACTTGCAACCGGGGAAGTGCCTACGGAATGGAAACAGTCAAACATCACGCCCGTTTATAAGAAGGGAGAAAAGACTGACCCGCACAACTACAGGCCTATTGCCCTCCTGTCAACAGTCGGTAAAATCCTTGAGAGACTTGTGCACAACAGGCTCTACGCGTTCCTTACGGACAACGCCTTATTGAACCCCAAGCAGTCTGGATTCAGGAAGGGAGATGGGACAGTACTTCAACTTCTCCGGATAATAGATGACTGGGCTAAATCGATCGATGACGCTGACGTAGCCTGTACTGCTGCAGTCTTCCTGGACGTGAGACGCGCCTTCGATACCGTTTGGCACGATGGCCTGATCTACAAGTTATCTCGATACGGTATCCATGGCCCTCTCATTAACTGGTTCTCCGACTATTTGTCAGACCGTCAACAACGCGTTGTCATCAACGGGGAAGCGTCTTCATGGGGGTTCCCAACAGCTGGGGTACCACAGGGAAGTATCCTTGGTCCGCTCTTGTTTGTGTTATACCTAAACGACATCAAAGACTTACCTTGCAAATCCAGTATAAATTGCTTTGCGGATGACACATCCCTTTACAACTCTGGACGTACTGCCGCTGAAGTTGCCAGCACAACCAACACGGACTTGAACCTTGTCGCGACCTGGTTTCAAGACTGGGCACTTCAACTACACCCCGACAAATGTAAAGTGATGTGTATAAGATCTCCCCAAAGCAAAGTCAAGCTCCCCCCAATCTACATAGCCGACCAACTGGTTGAAGAAGTGACTACCTACACACATCTAGGAGTCACGATGCACTACACACTGCGGTGGAAAGAACACGCTGAAAATGTCTCCAGCAAGTCAAACAAGGTACTAGGCCTACTCAGCAAATTGCAAAGAAAACTGCCTCGTGAAGCGCTGGAAACTGCCTACAACACCCTTGTACGCACGAAGCTGGAGTACGCCTCAGTCCTGTTCAGCACAGCCTGTACCACAGCCTGTAAGACACTCGAGCAAGTCCAGTATCAGGCAGGACGGCTTGTCTCAGGTGCTATGGCTCGTACACCTCGACTAAAGCTACTAGAAGAGCTAGAGTGGGACAGCCTAGCAGCTAGAAGAGATTACAACAGACTACTCATCATGTACAAACTAGTATCTGGCTCAGTTCCTCCCCACCTTCAGGTGCTGATCCCTACCACCAGAGACAGCCAAAGACAACTCCAAGTCCGGCTTCGTAACGACGCACACCTGCACGTGCCCTTTTGCAGAACGGCCACCTACAGGAACAGCTTCGTTCCGTACACTACGCGACTCTGGAATAGTCTCCCGTCGGAGGTGAGGGAATCTGCCTCTTACAGCCAGTTTAGACAGAGGTGCAGGGCCCACATACTGTCCACCCGCCATCATCAGAAGTACCGAAGGCTAGGTGACCGACAGAACAACATCCTCACCACGAGACTACGTCTTGACTGGTCCCAGCTCAACTCCACCCTCGCCAAGTTCAAACTCACCTCTCGGAGCTGCAGCTGTGGAGCCACGTCTGAGACGGTCGCACACTTTCTCCTCAGCTGCCCTCTGTACGAGGACGCACGGCAAATACTGGCCACCGAAGTACGTCGCCTGACAGATCGACCCCCTCTCTACAAACATCCTTCTCAACGGTTATCCAGGTCACGACCCTCTTACTGATCAAAACCTTTCGGCCGCTCTTCACACTTACATTTCATCAACAAACCGATTCTAATTACATAACTCTTAGTCCTTCCATCTATTCCTACAACATTGTAAATATTGAAATAATATATGTTTGTAAATATTATATATTTTGAATGACC